AAGGAGAAACTGGGACATGTGGCGATTTTTAAATTTTATATGGAGGTGGAATAAGTGACTGCTTCCTCCCTTACATGGGGGTAGGAAAACCTACAATGTGGTCTGCTGTCTTCCCTGAAGAAGACTGGGAAAGGAGGAGTGCTGAATGCTCCTGTTGAGGCAGAGAGGACATAACCTGAATTTTAAACAAAACCACTCTTCTTTATTTATCAGGTGCTGGCTGTGGTGACAGGAGCTATATGACCAGCAAGCATGAAAGGCAGCAGGCTCTGATCTCCACTGTAGTTCCATGCACTGCCAGAGTTGTCTGGATGGGTCTAATGTGACTAATGACAAATTCAGACTCCTGAATCTGGCTAAATTGTGTGTAATGCGAAGAGAAAGCAGAGGGCATGATGAGCAAAGCATTGCACTGCTTTGTATAGCTACCCAGTTGGCTGCTGTGGCAGTCAGGAATAGCTTGCGCTGGGGAACCCAGTGTCTGCTATACCAGAGCACTGCCTGTAAAAATCCACCTATACTGAGCGGTCTCTTCAAGATAACCATGCTCCATCCCCAAGGTGAGGAGGCAGTATGGAAAACAAGAACCATGTCTTTGGCATAAAGGAATTCCTGCTTTTACAGTGAAGCATCACACTTATGCCATTCAAATAGTTTAACGGGGCTGCTGAGGATTGGCAGAAGGCAGAAAGTGTGAAAAAATGACTGGCAAACACACTCAAAGGACCTTGCACGTTACCTGCTTTATTTGCTTCTTTAAGAAGACAATCGTGTCAGAGGTAGCACGTCCTTTGCCACGTTGTGCTTTCTGCATTCAGTGTTCATTGTCCTGAGCCGCATACAGCTAACGTTGTTTTCTCTGAGTGCTTGCTTTCTACTTTAAGAATAATTAATCCAAAACTTAATTTAAAAAATCACTTTCCCAAACAGTATTTCTTCATATTCTCATTTGCTGTATTTAGACTAATTTGTCTTGACATTGCAGCTGTGCCGCTCTTTGTGTTGCACAATCTTTTGAGTTCTGTTTCATTAAGAATGGAACTAAAGAATTTGGGGAAGGGGAGGGAAGAAGTGCTAGACTGTTAGAAGTTAATTTGCCGTAAACCAAAATGTTGAGAACAGATTACAAAAGCTATGAAGTGACATGTAAATGCTTGTCCAGTTTCACACTTGTTAGAAATAAGTCAGTAAAGCTGCGTGCACATGAAGTACCCGTTTGGTTACGGCTGCTGGGCATAGTTCATTCTTACCAATGCATTCAGAAGCATGAATGAAATTGCGCAGAATGTGAGGAATGGTCTTAAGACCCCAAATACTTAAGTTAACTTTTCGAGCTGTTTTTTCGCCTTTCTAGTTTTATATGTTCTGTCCAAAGGGAATTTTGTCCTTACTTAGCTGCTCTATCTAACTATTCTGCATATTAAAAAGCTGTTTTGTTTGTAAAGTGCTTTTGGTTTGGGGGGAATTATTTTTAAAGCTATCTCTGAACGTGAAGAAGATGCTTTGCTTAATTTTTCTTAATGTGCTATACTGCCTATCTTTTCCTTCCTCCTCACGCTGATTCATTGCTATGCAATTTGTTTCATCCACTTTTTTCTTTAGTGTTGAAAAAATGTTACTTTCATCATTAATATAAGACATTGCTCCGCCTCTAAATACTTGCGTGTTTTATTTAAATGTTGTCTTCTGCAGCTGAGAGAGATAAAACTGAAACCTAAAGGGTCAAACCAGAAGGCAGATAGTTTAATTAAACCACCTCGGTCAGTTTGGATTATTTGGGGGACCTGGTTCATGACCTCTAATGCTTTGGATGGGCAGTATCACATTTCTTGTTTAGTATCTTCTGATATTTTTTTGTGGAGGGTTATTATGTCCGTGTCCCACCTCTGAAGACTAATGTGAGCTCTGCTACCTGTTCAGACAGACTCCAGATGGGAAGGCCACCCAAGAGGCATCTTGCCCCCGAACCAATCTAACTCTTAACTAGTTTCTCAGCCGCACAACAAGGACACAGCGACTACAGGTCTGGTGGGCAGATGTAGCCGGAGCTGACAGAAACTGGAAACTAGAGACTAGGTTGGTCTGTTTTATGTAAGGGTCAGGAAAACTGGGGACTGAAGTACAGAGGAAGCTGCTTTGATCGAGGACGTCAGCTGTGCCAGGAGCTCAGTTAGCACACCGGTTTACTTGGAGCTTGCTCGCACCACGGAAGGGAATAACTTCACTCTGGGGTTGTTTTTCTCGCGGCGAGCAGGGGCTGGGAGGAGCAGTGAGCAAGGCCGGGCTCCGGGGCTGGAGCTGGCCCCTGGCAGGGTGCGGCTGCATCTGACGCCGCTTGTTTTCGGGGCTGATTCCCATCTGCAGCAGATGTGTCTGCAGGATGGCAGTGACAAACCGAGAAGGCTTTTATCCCGTTAGCCAAGAAGTGTACAGCCGACTTCGAGGTATCGCATGTGTGATAGCTGTAGTGTTTATCTTCCTAGATTGCCTTAGTTCCACCTTTCAAAGGATTGGAGGGATAATATACAGTATCCAAGTACAAGTACAGTAATAAGCTGCTTCAGAGCAGTGAGGTCTCACACTATTTTCATGAATTGCTATTTGGCTTCAGAGCAAGGCATACATACTTTTTTCCCCTCTGTGGCCCTGAATGACATTTTAAGAGATGGCTTACATGAAGTAGTGTTGTACCATTGCCGCAAGTGTTTGGTCTGTGCTTGCATTGCTGAGGACATCACTCAAAAGTGCTCTTACTGGGGCATGTAGGTCACATGTTGACTTCCCCTTGACTGAAATCTGGTTGCTGAAGTCACGAGCTCTTAAAACTCTTTATATTCCTTCAAAGCTTTAAAGATTACAATGTGGTGGAGAGCAGGCTTTCTGAAACTTGGTACTCTGTAGTTGTGCAGATTATTTCTCTTGTATGCATACTTGTGAGAATACTGGACTTATTTTAGCTATAGGTAAACATTAATGGACATCCATAAATCTAGTATCCATCTAGTTGTACTTCATATTTTAAAAAAAGGAGTGTCACGGAACTTTAATAAAAAGCCAGCTCAGTGAGACTTTGCCTGTGCTCATCCTGTGGAAGAGAACAGTGATGTATGGCAGGGACATGGCAGGGAAAATGTTGCTGCCACTTCCCCTCTCTCCTCACTGCCTCCTAAAGAGAGAGGCTCCAAGGCCAGTGTCCCTTCCCTTCCTGAGCCCCTTGCAGCCAGCGCTTCCGTCCACGCTGCGGGGCCTTCAGGCAACACGAGGTAGCCATCGAAGCCCGCGAGCTTCGGGAGAAGAACACGGTGTGAAACTTGAGTGCCACCAGAGAGAGGCCTCTTGCCGTGTGGGACCGCTGCCCTCTGACTAGGCCTCGCCGCCATGTCGCGTGAGGCGGAGCCGAGCCTGGCACCCAGCAGGGCAACGGGGCAACCAACTTCTGCTCCGGGGCTCTATATAAGAGGTTTAAAGATGCCTGCCCTGAGAGAAGAAACAAATGCAAGGGAGCTTGCTCCCCTGTTACTTTTTTGTAATTAACTTGTGGATTCTGTCATAACTGTATAATGAAGTTATATGAATCAACAGTAGAAAAGGCAAGGAGTCAGGAGGTCTGTTAATCTTCTATCATCTGCCAGCTGTCCAGTGAAAACACTCTTTTGTGTGGTGTTAGGAGGTCTGGATTAGTCATTTAACACCTGCAGGCAAATATGTAGCACAAGAACATGTGAAAATCATTAGAGCAAAACTGTCCTGACGTCTGTGATTAGAAAATGCAGACAGCATAAGAATGGAATTAGATGGGTTCAGCTGTAGCTTGCATGTCTTTTAAAGTATGCAGCTGACATGATTCAGACCAACAATTAAGCAAGTAGCAAATACTTAAGGGGCATTTGCTTGCTCTGAGCTTGGGTCCATGGAGTAATAGCTCTGTCTTAAGCAGTTTCATATACTAACGAGGCATGTTTGTGGTATTTAAAAAGCGGTGTCTGAAGTTCCTTGGCAGTTTTAAGTGATCCAGTATAGTACTCTGATAACCTGGAAGCTGAAGTAAATCATAATTTAAAAACAAACACACAAGACAATCTTGCTACTTGATACCTTTGGCATATAAAGTATTCTCATTTTTGAAGTAAGCATCATGCAAAGTTTTGAGTAAGCTTCAGAGTATATCTAGGACATGGCTAGAAATTCCATCAGAGCTAATCTAGCTATAGTAGTGAATGCCTTAATATATCATTTAATTTTTAAAGATGTCAACACCAATTTGGTGTTTAAACAGAAAAAAACATTTCTATAATCCAAGTATAAAATCTGAAGTTTAAATTAAAATTTGTAAAGCTTCAGGTTAGAGACCTTTTTTACTTGTTTGCTTGCTTTTGTTTTATCTTTGAAACACTTGATAGTTTGTAAGAGAAATGTGTATCTTCGGTTGTAGTCACAGCAAAGTACATGCAAAGTAATTAGACTAGCAGATGAGTGTATTTTGTTTTGTATGTAAAAATAACATCTCTTAAAAGTTCTCCCTCCAGTATTTCTCATTATAAACTGCCCAATATAACTAGTAAATTAGACAAACCCTTCTGTATCTAACTCATAAAACATAACAATTGGATACTGATAATTAGCTAAAACAATTGGAACTCATAATTGGTACTAGGCAACTTGGCTTTGTTGGATGGCGTAGCTGAACACTTTACATTCCCCTCTTTTTTTTCCTGGTCTAAAGTGCGGCTTCCATTCTAGGGTCAAATTATCTCTTTCTGATAACTAGTCTCTTACAGAAAAATAAACATGTCTGAGGAAAATTGATGCTTTAACCTGCAGATATCCCTGCTGTCTGAACTCACAAACATTCTGTGGATTTTCTGTTGGAATTCTGAAGAAATTCAGAAGTTCAAAATGTTGTATGGTGTATCTTGCTGCTTAATTCGTGATAATAAACTGTGACAGAGATTTTAAGATTTATTGCTAATATAGTACACTTGTGTTTTCTGACTTTGTAGACCACTAAAGCATTTCTCCCCAAGATGCTGGAAATGAATCATGGGCACATCGTAACAGTTGCAAGTTCCCTGGGATTGTTCAGTACTGCTGGAGTAGAGGTTTGTTAAGTCTATAATTAATAAGAAGTATAATAAGTATTGCATTTCATGCTTAGGATAAGATTTTTTTTTTGTATGCTGGAAAAAAAAAAAAAATAAAGCCAAATCTTCAAAGGTGTTAGAAGTTAAGGTGCTTAGTAGTGTATCACCAGACCACTACCTATGAGTGGAATCCACAGAACTCAGGTAGCCACCTTATCAGGTTCACCTTACTTTGCAGGTGAACTTGCCACTCAAAGTAGAAGCATAGGGCAGCCAAAGAATGCTATATGACCTTGGAATTACTTAGTAACTTTTAAGAACATGAAAAATGCCCACCCACCTATTCCTGTCAAGAGCTTTAATGCGAGGCTTGAAGCTGAAGGCAAGGGTTTTGGAAAATACTGAATGTGTTTCCTACCTCTGTGAGGAAATGGCTGACTGCCTTCCTTCCAGAATATATGGCTCACCTCCTTTACTGGGCTATGGACATCTGGTTGCTAGCAGTCATCTGAGAACATCAATCTCGTGTGGCTTGGTGGGTACATAAAGCTAGGTTGGGATTAGTGTTTTTTGTTTTGGAGAGGGGAGTCATTAGTACAAATCCAAGTGAACTGAAAGCATTCACTTAATGAAAATAAATTCATGTGTCTAATGGAATAATGGTCATACTGCTCCATAAGGCATGGGCCTCTTCAGACTGAGCCCAGGTATTTGCCATTCCTTAAACTGTGTTTAGGAAGACCAGCAGTGTTCTTCAACAGAAATGATTTAAACTGGTGGAAACCTGAGGCTTTTTTTGAGGATTTACAGTCTTCAGAAAGCTATAAAGAATTTCCTAGACTGTCTGACCACCAACAGAAGTAGTGGCATAGCCGACTCAAAAACTTGCATGTTACTGCTATCTATCCAATTATTTTCAAATTTTGTTCAACCTAGTGCTCATCTGAGATAGGCAAGGTATAGCTACTGAAAACTAAATAATATGCTCCACTCTCCATAATACCTCAGGGTGAAACTAATATTAAAAATAAGCAATATAAGATTATTGTACCTAATTTTGTAGACAGTATTAGGTATCTCAGTCCTCTTGTTCTAACACTTAAACAGGCTGGTAACCAGAGTAACTTGCTATATGAGCCTGCCTGATTCAAAGACGTGAATCCAAGGTCATCCCTTCCTACATTCAACTTTTCTGCTTTCAAGAGTCTGTGTTAATTGCCTTAAAAGTACAGTGATAAATGAGCTGATGTGATTCTATGTTCAGTGGGTGTCTTCTGTAGCTGCTTTGAAACTCTGTGTAGAATCACATGAGCTATGCCTTGGCTTTGAACATAATTCATAGCTATTCTTTTAAAGTTTTTTTTTTTTCCTAATTCATTGCCAACACAGGATTATTGTGCCAGCAAATTTGGAGCTGTAGGTTTCCATGAATCGTTGAGCCATGAGTTGAAAGCTGCTGAAAAAGATGGAATCAAGACAACTTTAGTCTGCCCTTATCTAGTAGATACAGGAATGTTCAGAGGGTGCAGGATCAGGTAAGTTAATTTCCTCATCTGCTCTGTATTTGTAGTGTCTTTAAAAGTACTTGAAGTCTGCTAAATGTTTGCAGCTGGAATTAGGAATATCAGGTCATTATTTTACTGGCCTAGATTCCTGCTTAAACTGTTACCATAATAATATCAGTGTATAATTATTTCTGCTGTTCTAAATTGAGTGAATTTCTTCTGTTCTATTGTAGACATAAGAAAAAAAAAAAAAAGCTTAGGTTGCTTATTATTCATTGTAATTGGACAGCAAATACAAAAAAAAAAAAAAAAGTCTTTGTCCCTATGGAGGAATTCCAAAGAAAATGAATTAATAAAGTCTTGAGTGATGGAGCCTGCAGCATTTATGCGTTTTATTAATCTCCCTAACATCACATCTTTCAGAAAAGAAATAGAGCCCTTCCTGCCGCCTCTGAAGCCGGAGTACTGCGTGAAGCAGGCGATGAGAGCGATCCTCACAGACCAGCCCATGATCTGCACGCCTCGCCTCATGTACATGGTGACCTTCATGAAGAGGTAGGATCTGAAACGCCACGGCAGTTGGCCGTGTGACCTGCAGCGTGCTAGTAAAACACAGGGTTAGGTCCCCTCTCTGGATAGGAACATTCTCCCACCTGCACTAAGGCAATCTCCCAGTGTAGTTTGTCGGAATTCCCAAGTCGCATCCTTGGCTTGCAGGAGCTTTTGTGGTTGCTTTCTCAGCCACGAATGTCACAAAAACAGGACCCTGGTATTAAGCATCCCAGTTTTGTCCTTTTCCACCTTTAGATATGTCCTCTTTTCAACAAATTTGCAGGCTGCAGGAACTTCCTGTTGTTTCTCTGGCATTCCGTGGCCCATTCCTTAGGAGCAGGGTGTGAGGAAGCTTCCAGCAAAGAAGCCCCTAGCAGATTGTCTCCAGAGCCAGTACGTAGGAGGCCCTGGCTGCAGACTCTCTAGGAGTTGTGTGGTATGAAAGGGAAAAATCTGTACATTCAGAATGAATTGTCAGATCCTACATCTGTAGGAAGGACTATTAAATAGGGGTATTCCTATTAAAGGAATATCTCCTTCCTGTCTTAACACGCAACAGGCTTTGTGTGGGCACTCTGTTTAATCCACAGCCATGCTGCCATTCCAGTGGTGCAGGCTAAGAAGCAGAGCTATTCCTAGCAGTTAATTATAGAGAATTGGCTCATTTCTACTGATGCAACATCCTTTGCCTACTGTTTTTTAGGAAGCAGTTACACTGCTGAGCTGAGAGCCTTGGGGATTTCTGCTTCAGGCACGGCTCAGTGCTCCCTCTGTGCCTCAAGGCCATCGCGGTGGACAGGGTCACCACAGACTCGAGCCTTCACCGCTCGCCCTTCCCTGGAATGTGGTGTCCTTGTCCCTGCTGGCAACAGGCGGAGGATGCGCAGCCGTTTTGGAGCTGACGCCTTCAGCAGGGAGCCCGGGGCTGCCACAGCCGCCCCGTGCCCGCAGCCGCAGGCACATCAAAGGCCCTTGGCATGCGGGACATCAAAGCTCCCGTGTAATCCGTGCCCCAGGCACCAGCAGCTGCATCAAAGGCCCTCGAGTGGCTGCTGCGCCAGCGGTACCGCTGACAGCAGCGACACCTGTACCAGGAACATCGGCTTCCCAAGGCTTCAGCGCTCCTTGCTCCTCATGGTTAGGTTCTGGGCATTGCTTTCTGCTAAGTGAGGGTCTTTATTTCCAGGGACTTAAAACATCATCCTATTTTACTCCTTCACTACAGCTCCTGAGTACTGCCCTTGGAATAGAAGAGTGTTTTGTGGCTGTAGGAAAGAGGAGAGAGTCTGTAGCCAGGTGTTCATCCCATAGTCACCTCTTGGACTTTAATTTGGGGAAAAAAGGGAACTACTCCCCTTATTGCAGACTTGTCTTTCTGAAGCTGGATGATTGAGGTCAGAATGTAAGTCAAGGTTATTAGACATCAGGTGATCAAACAAGGGCATTAACTAACACTAATCCCAGAGTAAAGAATGTCTTAAATAACCGGATGCCTTCTGCTGCTGCTTTGGGCAGAAGCTTTGCTCTTGGTAGGCCTTCTGTAATACCCTTGCCCTAACTTCTTCAAAGGAAGCTCTCGTGTTGCTTGTGAAGAAGCAGCAGAGCACCTGATCTGAGCTGGAGGCACGGGAATAAGTAGCTTCCTTTCCTGTTCTGCTTGTCTATATGGTGGTGACTGTCAGGAATTTCTACTCTCTCTGTAAATATTCCTGTGAAATAGAATTCTTCAGTCCTTCCTGGGAAGCTTTACAATAGTTAGTATGTTCCTTTTAAGGCTACCATTGATACAGTAAGATAAGTTTTTCTGTTTGTTTTGTCATCTTCTAATAATTTTATAACTCTCTTTTTTCCTGCAGTATTCTGCCCTTTGAAGCTGTTGTATGCATGTATCGGTTTCTGGGAGCAGACAAGTGTATGTACCCCTTCATTGCTCAAAGGAAGCAGGCTACAAACAACAACGAAGCAAAAAATGGAATTTAACACCATTTTGGATGGACTAACGTTTACGGGGGAATACGATGATGTTACATGACTGAATTGTGAAATGCACTTGCATCTAACTGGTGCAAATGTCAACATCTTACTGTGGCATTCTCTTGGATCTTAAACCTGTGTATTGAACTCTTAAAAAAATCATTTTTTTTATATACTGTAAATAAAACTGACTAGAGTACTTGGAAAATGTGATAGGTGAGCAAAGTGAGTTTATGGTGTAGCTGCCACCGTTGTCCTTTAGCCTCTTCCTGTGTGTGCGGGCAGGCGGCGGTGCCCCCCTCGCAGGGACGCGTCGCGCCGGCTCTGCTGCCCCTCTGCCCAGCTCTGCAGGAGCTGCTGCAGCTGAAGTGCAGCGCTCCAGGAGCCTGGTGGGAAGGGGACAGGGAGGGAAGCGGCCAGGCAAGCTACTGCGCGTGACCTCTTAGCAAATTCAAGGACAGATTATGAATGCATCTCGGAGCTTGTTAAGCCAAGCTCTAAAGGACACATGGCCAAATTGTGGTGTAATTCTCTTTTGTAGCGACTGTGTGTGTTCTATTTAAACAAAGATGAAAGGAAATTTGTAAATCTCTGCCAATTCAAAGGCAAGCGAATGTCTCAAAATACTCTCAGAGCAAAGTTGTGCCGGGCATCTGGTTTTCTAGGAATGCAGTCAGTGATTTAAACTGACTTTTTTCCAAGCCGCTTGATTTGAAATATGCTCTGCTCTGTTCCCCTCTCTACTTGTCAGTCCATCTACCCGTATGGGCTGTGTTTTGTTTCTTCCTCCTTACTCCTGCTTCCGACAGTTCTCCCCCACCCCCCGAGGAAGTTGTTGTATTAAATTTCTTTAACTGGACTTATGCCTAAAAGACAAAGCAACTCAGCTGAGATACAAACTGTTTATGTAAGTGCTGGTCCTATGCCAATGTCTAGCAAAGGAGAAGTAAAATAATGCCTGATGCAACTTTACATGTGGAATATGGAAGGGTGTAAAGACTTTTTTTTTGAGTTCTACTCGCGTTGTAGAACAGCAAATAACATTTTTTTACAGTATTTTTTGTAAAGCGAACAACTTTGTGCCTTGAATTTGGTAATCTGTATTAGTGAAACATTGTAAAGGTGAACTTCTACCTCTGTATCTTAATGTATACCATCCACTTGTAAACTACTATTGGACAAATTATGTGATTACTTTTTTTTTAGAATGTCTTATTAAATAGTGACCAATGCCTCTGGTTATTAAAGCGAGCCACCTTTTCCTTAAAGCAGTGGTTGGAATGGTTCCTTGAAAGACTAAACTAATTGAAACTACTCCCTTGTGTCTGTTCTCCAGTGTTTTAGTATCAACACAGTTCAAATATTTACTACTAAGTTCCTGTGGCCGGGGCAGCCTCTCAAGTAAGTACTGGGTAGTTAGACTTTTGGAACTGACAGTCACTATTTAATTTCTAAATTCATTGATGAAGTAAGTGCTCACAGAGCATCACAGACTACTCGTTTTGTTTCTTCTCCCCTGCTTCAATTAGGTCAGTGTAACCTAGTGCGGGTGCCAGTTTAATGGATTAAAAAGCTAATAACCGCAAATTTATTAAAACTGCATTTCAGTATAGAATAATTTCAGTTTCTGTATGGAGAATCGTATTGTTAGTTAAGCCTGCTTAGGCGTTCATGTAAGGTAGAAGAAACTCTTCCCTCCAACCGTTACTCAGAATCCCAGGTTCTTATTAATTTGGCCCCGGGGATGTCATTAATTCTATGTTCTCTATAGCACTGTCACTAAGAGCAAGTGCAACTTTCACTCTGCTACCTGCCCTCCCTCTAATGCACTTTTCTCTCTAAAATGTCTCTCTATTGCATGTTGCTTCAGCCTAAGAAACTGCTTTTATCCCGGCTGTTATACTGAGCTCAGTCCGTGGCTCAGGTCGTGCCCGAAAGCAGCAGCCCCATGAGCGTTGCCTGTCCGGGAGCACTTTGTGGTGACAGTCGGGTTTCCTCATGCCAGGGCTGCTAGGAGCGAGGGAGGGAACAGAGACCTGGCACCGGGAAGGGGGCCTCCCCCAAACTGCTGTAACTTGCATGTGACACAGGGCTCTCCTGTAGAGCGAGAAGCGCCCGAAATCAGCCCCCTTCCTGGGAGCGCCGCGGTTCTGCAGCCACGTCCCTGCAGCAGATGCTTTCACAGCACGGGGGCTGCCTGCGTCTCTCACCTCGCGCCATGTGGGGTGGCTCTTCCACGCGGCGCCATCCGCGGCTGCTCGGGGGAGCCGTGGTGTGGAAGTCTGCACGTGCCCTTTGCAAACCGAAGCGTGGGAGCTGAGAGCTCCTCTCTCCGGGCTGGGATGGCCTTCTCCCGCAGTGTGTGTGCAAGGGGGGTGCTGCAGCGTAACGGGGCAGAGCGGCGTGTTCACAGCTCGGCTTGTGGGGCGCCAACTGGCTCTTGCTCCTCATGAGCTTGCCTGTGTGGTTCCTGAAACCGTGTCTATGCAACTAGTTCTTTGGGAAGAGGGAAGCCTAGTTCCTGGCTAGCAAACATGCTATGGAAGCAAATTTACATCTCTTAAAAGCTTGCCCGTCTGAACGCACATCTTGGAAAGTGCCAGCCCCTTATTGGGGTGCTCCAAGGGGCTGTAGGGCTGAACTCCCCTCAAATCAGGTTACATAGCTTAAGAGGAGCCTCTCAGCTTAGACTTTTTGTCAATCCACCTGACGGAAACATCTCTAGAATTTGCATTGTTCTCAAAGTTAGTGTCCCCTTCCTTAGCCTTTAAAATGAATTGAGGTTTGCCAGCTGCCTGAACTGGGTATACCCAAAGTAACTGTAGTGAGATCAGACACGCCTGAGCTTTAAAGATTTTTGTTTTAGCAATCGTCAGAGCATGCATGTGGTGTTTCCTTTATGTATGAATTCAGCTGCAGCTTGGAGCACTTAAATTAAATGCCCGATACAGTAAAAAATGTTTCCTCCTCTCAGACCCCGCAAGGCCTGTCCAGGAGCTGTACAGGACTGGCTAATGCCCAAGCAGGGCGTAACTTAAGAGGTTCTCTCTGCAAGTCACCACGATCTAGGGAAGCGAGGTCAGCTCCGCAGAAACAATATCCTTGTGCTTCACAATGAATAAATAATTCTGGGGCATCATCACAGCCCATCGCAACTTCTGCGCATAGGACACCACCAAGGCTCGTGTTCACAAAGAACTTGGGAAAATTTGGAGAAATCCATGTTGTTGTATTCAGCGTGCATAAATGAAAGGATTAAGTACAAACCACTGTCAGGCTAAAACTGCATCTGCACAATGGTTTAGTGCGTATGAATGCATCAGCCCCCGTAGCTGATTCCTAATTTTTCTCTGTTTCTCTGAGTAGGCAAATCCTAGGCATCTGTTCAACTAAACTAGAGCATCATAGAACAAAACCAGCCAATTCCTTAGCTACTTAGGCTTTAAGTCGGCTTCAGTCTATTAATGCTTTAAAACGAAGCTTTCCAAATAGGGAAACTTGGGTTCCTGGGTAGTTTTAAATTTCTGCCAAGTTCATGGTGCAGAAATATGAAACAAACTCAGCCTTAAACCAGGTTCCTTCGAGTTCTATTTCACTCCCTCTTTTAGGGGCTGTTAGATGAGCTTATCTCCATTATAGACAGTTTTGTCACGAAATTACTAATGTTAAATTCCAGGTGTTTAGTCGGCTGCTCCCATTCCTTGCAGAAAAGCTGGAAAGTCTTGGGACAGTTCCTGATAAACCAGAAATGTAATTACATTATATGTGTATATACTAATTAGCTTGATATGCTTCAGCTTGGCTATTAAATGCTGATGTATGTAGCTACGGAAAGCATGGCTTTATCATGCCATCAAAGCAATGAACAAATTCATACTAGTTTTATTTAAACACGGTGTAAGTGGACAACCCAAATATTTAAAATAACTTCAGAAATAACATTCCAGCTTACATACTTATCTATCTGCCTAATGCTGATAATACACAAACGATTCATTTCTGCCACAAAACAAAAACGCTTTTGAGCTCGAAGATGAATGCGCAGAAGCCGGGATCAAGTGTGTGCAGGTCAGATGAGCAGGATGTTTGTTTCCCTTCTCCTAAACACGGCAGTCCCAACTCGTAGCCGAGGAGCTTCCACGGGTTTCAAAACCCCAAGCCTTTATACACAGTCCTGCCTATGCGGCCTGGCCAAAGTGTCTTCTGATGGAACTGCCCGTTCCGACTGAAAACAGCTCAGCCACCAATTTGCCTGGCCCAGTGTCTGCGGCACTTGGGTCTGCCCCTGTGCACCCTCCTATTTTGCAATAAGCATAAGCTGGGTTTAATTTAAGCAAGAACAAGGCTCTGGAGTAAGAAGGGGATGGGGATGTTCAGGATAATCCAGTGCAGCTCGACCGCCTCACCTACTCCGAGCTGTGCAACTGTCCCATCCAAACAAGCCCTCAGGAGATAATTACAGACTTATGTCAGGACGTGGCCACTTAAGCAATGGATAAGCAAAGGTAGCTCAGGCACAGTCTGGTTTCTCTCCAGGCAGGAACAACTTCAGCGAGTGTTTAGAAGAAACCTCACTTGCTACAAGGGAAGACTTGACCGACGCCAGTAGTTAATGGCCAGGCGGCAACGTGCCAGGATAGCTGGGGTGTTAGGCTTTCAGGCTGCATCCCTGACTCTCGGGAAGGACAGAGCCATGAATATTGACCTTTCCAGCTTTTTCTGAAAGGAAAACCTGACTAGTTAATCCTCTCCCATGTCAGGCTAGCAAAAATTCTTGAGGAAGAGAAAGAAAGGGTGAAGTTAAGGTCTCCTAAGTACCCCAAAATCAAGTTGGTGCCGAAGACGTTTTATGGGCGTCTGCAGAGGTTTCATCCCCAGCTCTTGTCCTGTTGCTCCTGCTGGCACAGCCCTGCTGCGGGCAGCGGCAGCAGGAGCCGCGGGGCGGACACGGCTCCAAGGGACCCGCGTGGCTGCAAGGCCTCCGCGTTCCCAGGGCGCCCTGTGAGCGGCTGCGCTGGAAACGCTGCTCCTGGTCCAACAAGCGCTCACAGTTGTGGGAAACGAGTGCTAGGCAGATGAGACCAAGGCTTCCAGTGGAGGGATCAGTCGCTGGAACGGTCCAGCAAAAACATTGATACAGGGATTTTCTCATCTTGTATCCACAATCCAAACAACCTGATAAGAAATGCCAGCTTTTGTTTGCTTGCAGTAACTGAGAATAAAAACTCATGGAAACAGTTGCTCTCTGCATTTTAC